CCCCCCCCTATTTTGGGGGCCTATAACATGACAGTAATAATGTGACACTAACTGGAGCTTCAGTAATCTCATCATTTCTGTTGCTGTGTGAGATAAAGAAAGAATTCTTTACAGTCAGTGAAGAGTGAGAAGCTCGTCTTTAAGCGTGTTATCAGTGGGTTCACACATGTTTCACTTCCTCATCACGAGCGCCTCAGTTTGCAGCTGTGAACACGCATCTTTATCTTTGTCTGCAGACCTCGGTCATCAAGGGAACCTACTTGGCTCTGGAACACATGAGCAAAGAGTACGGCAAGCAAGGAGGCACCATTATCAATGTCTCCTCTATGGCAGGTAACACACACACCGACACACACGTGCAGAAACATGAATTATTAAAACAACAGACAGCGATGATGTTTTTGTTCAGGGATGTTAAAGTTCGCCAAAGATTACACGACAGTCGTGTCCATAAGGCCACGGCGGCGAGTGACTGTGCTTCACCTGAGTCGCTGCTGCTGCGGCGAGCTGCCAGTAGCTCTGAGAAAGAGGCGCCCCCACTCATCACCCTCCAAAATCAGCTGACTAATGTTCCCAGTGCAAATGCAACAATCAGCTTTTTCTTCCTGTTCATTTCAAAGGGCAGAGGGCAGCGGGTCAAAGGTCACAGAAAGCTCAGCTCAGTCTGACCTCATCACAAGGACGTTTTCTGCAGCGGCACACCCGGGCGCGCTTCCTGTCTGTCAGCTTTTCTGCTTCTATTTTGTGCTGCGAGCTGAACGCTGCGCTCGCCGCTGTTTTCACTGTGCATGAACCCTGCAGAGCTCTTTAGAGACCTGCAGCTTAAAAACACGACGGCGCAGCGTCAGCACTGACCTCGTCACATACTTGGAAGCAAAATGGTGCCATTCCTTCCCTCGAAAATTGCTGAGTAACAGCAGATATGAATGAGTGATACGAGCTTCACAGACACTCTGAAACTCTAGGAGTGGACCAGCTGTAGCACCTGGCTCTCCGCTGACTTTCTCCTTTCAGACAGACGGTGGCTTTCTGAATCTGTCCGTCTCTCTGGAGGCCTGGCTCATGGAAACATCTTCTTCCTTGGATGTGGGTGTTGTGTTAGAAACACATGAAACAAAAAGCAGCTATGACTAGAGA